GGGCAGGACTGCGCGTGTGCCGGTCCCAGCGGCTGTACCATCAATTAGCCAGGAGGAGTGGACAGAAAGTGCTCTCATGTCTCTCAGTGTTCATCAGGGTGCGAGGTTTTCTATAGGTTGTTAAATAAAGCTGCGCTGTGCAACAGTGGCAGTGCTCCCTTCGCTTTCTGAGCGTTCTGACGTTACAGGACAGGCCAGCAGTATTCAGGGGCGGCCAGTGGGGTCTGTTAGGGAAGGGCCTCATTCCTGAAAAAAACAGAAGTATTTTCCATGCTGAGCTTTCCAATGACTGCCAGCTACAGTGGTGTGCCTCAGTGGTGACGGTGGAGGGCAACATGAACACTCATGAGGCCTTGCACTGCTTGTGGAATTGGTCTGAGCTGTGAGCCAGGTAGGTCCCCCTGCACCTGGGCTGCTGGGGATTGACTGGCTGGGTGACTGCACAGGCCAACAGGACCTGGGATACAATAAAAGTTATTGTCCAGAAATGCATCCTTCTGCAACGGTGGCCAGCAGCATCCTGGGCTCCACTGGGCATGGCACTGCAGCAGATCGAGGGAGATGCTACTTTTCCCACCTTGGCTCAGCTTTGTGAAGACTGCAGTCAGAGTGTTCTGTCCAGGCCAGCGCTCTCCAGGACAAGAAGGGCACTGACATACTGTGGTGACTCTTGGAAAGGATCACTGAGATGATTAGGAGATTAGATCCAATCCTGATGTGTAAGGATAAACTGAGAGAGATGGGACAGTTTAGACTACAGAAGAGAAAATTCAAGAGGTAATTATCAATGTGTGCAAATAACAGCAGGGACACTAAATGAGATGGACCCTCCTAAGTGGACCCAGTGAAAGAACAAGAGGGAATTGGCTGAAATATGAGAAATCCTGCTTGAATGTAAGGAAGACTTTTAAACTGTGAGGATGCTGAACACAGGCACATGTTGAGATATCCTGTGAGTTTCTGTCCTTGTAGATGCTTGAAGCGTGGCTGGACATCATCTACAAGAACCTGCTGTAGATGACTGTGCTTTGAGCAGAGAGATTGGACCACATAATCTCCAAAGGTCCCTGCCAACCTCAGTCATGTGTCTTCTTTTTTAAAAGAAATGTAATGAAGAAAAAGGCAGTAGGAGAGATTCCCCTTGCTCTCTGTATGCTAAAGGCTGAAACAGATAAGAGTTGTTTTTTGTTTTTTTTTTCTCTTTTGTTGTTGAATTGAGTTAGATGAAAACATGAATAAGGATGGGAAGGGCACTGGTAAACAGAATACTTCTATAATTACTCAGTCAAAAGGATTGCAAGCCTGAGAGGGGATTTTTTTTTTTTTTAGGCCTGTAAATCCATTTGGAATAACCTTGTGTTTTGGCTGGCTGCCTTTTTCAGCAGGGAGATTAGAAATACATTTATTTGTCATCTTCAGGCAGGTATAAGCCACTTTCACCAGTGAACTGCTTGCTATGTGCGGGCTTGTTCACTGCAACCTTTTAAAAAATAATTTTGACTATGTAATTTGAGTGCCCCAGAAATGGAAATTAAGTTTTCAGCTGTAGGCCTGAACATGGATTTGGAACATCTAGCAATACAAAGTGCAGTCATATGCTTCTGCAGTCCAGTGTCCAATTGGATGCTCCCTGAGGTTAACTGGAACATAGCAATCAGCCTCTCTTTGTTCAACTACACTACACTGCACTACTACTTTAATACAAAACTACTTTAGTTTTGTTAAACTAAACTACAGTGTAAGATCCTTACTCAAGGGAAATCTCATCTTCAGGCTTTGGGTAACTATTGATCCTCTTCATAGCTTTTCCATAAATACCGTGTAGCTAGTAAATACATAGGCTGACTTTCGATTGTGTTTGTCTTTCAGGACATGTATATATCATCTATAATATATATGATCTATTTATAATATGATTTAATTAGGAAATGCTTTGGTCACATCCTGGTGTTAATCCCCATTCCTTAGTCAAAATGTCAGTGAAAGAAAGTGTCATGCTCCATAATCTCTCTTTGTGTCTCAGAGTTTGCTGTGGACTGTTACTCTCTGCTTATGAAACCGTACTTTCTATACTCTTGCAGTCTGTAAAATGCGAGTCCAGATTAGGCAACATGGTAGCAGAAGTTGCAGAGTTCCCACGTGAATGCAAGAGGAAGCATATGCTTCTTTTCTGGGTTGTGCACACTTGTGTTTCATAAAGTCAGTCTTCCAAAGATTTTGATTTCTTGTACATGAAGATGAACTTTGCATGATGAGCGAGCTGATTGCTTATGAGCTAGGGTTTGTGGGCAACCAACATGTGTGTTAGGGTGAGTGTCTGTTACAGAAGGGAAGAAGTAGATGAGGTCTCCTGACTAAAAAATGCAATAAAGGAACATGGAACAAGTAGAAGCAGCGTCAGGTTATTCCTCCAAACCTTGAAGGGACAAAGACACTGTCTAGGTGTGTGGAAAATCAATAAGGAAAGTGAAAGCCCACCTGAAGTTTGCCCATTTCACTTTAATTAAAACAAACCATAGAATGAAATAACTTAAATTTGAAAAGGTAGAAATGGTACTGAAATTCACTGTTTGGAGGATTTTTCTGTATTTTAAGCTATAGGGAACTATAGCAGGGAAAACTGAAAAGAGAAGGGCTGAGGCTTAGCTTGGGTGGGAAGAAGATTGAAATGGCTTTTGCCTGATTCTCCCTAAGTTGCTTCTTAGACTAAAACACTTTAAGAGTTTGTTTTTGCATAAAGTTGATTGCCCATGTCTGAAACAAAGTTGAAAGCACATGCAGGTCAAGAAGCTCACATTAAAATTTGTGGGAATTACAAAACTAAGTAATGATATTCTTAAATGTACAGATTTTAGGCTGATGTACTGTTTTGGAATACATCTGTTGGACTCAGATGCTAAAAATGTTTAGACTCTCCAATATAATCTCTCACATTTTTTCAAAAGTACTTGAAATTAGTAGGATTATTCCCCAGAATAAGAGTAATCTGCAGGTCTGCTCTTCCCTCTTCTTTAAATGAACTCCATTCCCAAGAAACTTGGAAATATTCAAGTTTATTATTGAATATGGCCAGTGGAAGTAAAAATTCATAGTTTGGGTAAGAATAAAATTTCTATAAAATACCTGTTGCTGAATGTTTCATTCTGCTTTCAAAGTACATTATTCCTCTTGAGGCTGATAGGATTGGGGTAAAGCTGGAAGATAATTTTCTCTTACTTTCATAGATGATAAAAAAAATAGAATTATCTCTTGCTTGCAGCCTGTAAAGGAATTTTTGTAGGTGTTAAACCATATACACCTTTTGAAATGCAATGTGCACTTTACATATTTATAGTTAAAACGCCTTAGGTATGTATTTTAAACGTAGTTCTGATCTTGTAGTATCAGGAAACTGTAGATTTGCTTTGAATTGTATGTTGGTTTGGATATGAGAATCAGGCTAGATCTAGAATTGATGACAGTATGTTTTATAGCTGGCTGCCTGTTTTGCATGGCAGGGATTTTAGTACTGTTCTGGTATTTCATACACTTATTTAGTGGGGAGACCAACATTAACAACTCTCACGTGAAGCAGCAGTGCAGTAAAATGATAGCACAAAGGCCTTCCTGCTTGTCAACAAGTCCACTAGATGTCCCTCCAGCTCTTTGTGAGACACAGCTGATTTACTCAGGCTAAATGGATCTAAGACGAACAGCCCTGCATTTTATGTCCATACCTTGCATAAGTAGCTCTTTTTGGATTCCTCTAGCAGTTATGGATACAACATAAATCCAGTTTCAGAAGGTGATGGTAGGTGTCTTCCTTCTGTATGTGTACACATGTGATTTTGATCTGTCAAAAGCAATCTTTCACTGTATGGATAGTGGGCAGATACTACACTGGGGTGGAAAAATTAATGCATTTTTAGGTTATGCTTAAATTTTTTTCCAAAAAAAAAGGACAGTTTAGCTCAGCATTTTCACACAGGTGAAGACTAGTCTGGGAGGTAATGTAACAGTAGTTTACTTGGTGACCCTATCAGACATTCAGTCTTACTATGAAAGTGGTCAGCTCAGAAAACTCAGAAGAGTTAAGATGCTTTTTCACTACTACCTGAAATATGAAGATTAATCTCCTCAGAAATGCTGTTAGCTCTGTTCTGTATTTTCAGCTGCTACCTCTGAATTTGTAATCTTTTCAAGCATGCTGCTGTCCTGATGCTTGTGACATCTGGAAATGCAGTTCCAGAGTTTGGGTAAATATCATGTGAGATGATAATGTATTTTGTTTGAATATCCATACTTCTGTGGTTCGATGCAGAGAAAATTAATCTAAGTCTTGTTCTTTGTATTTTTTTATCCCATAGTCTCTTATTCACCTGCTTTCTAAGGAAAATAATCCTCAATATTTTTTTTATTTCTACCAATACCCCTACTCTTTTTCATCACATTTTCCTTGACTTTTCTCCTTCAATTTCTATGTGTTATGTTTTCCATGGTGAGGTGATTAGTGTAGCATGAATTTCTTTAGATGACAAAACCACAGATGTTGGCAAATTAATACACTAGAAATAATAGTTGTTGGCAAAATAAATTAGTTAATATACAGAAAAAATAGCTCTTTGTGCAGCATTACTCATATACTGGTTACACAGACTGATAGTTATTTTTAATAGAGATAAAATTGTGTTGAAGATAAGGGCTGTTGCTTTATAATTAGGAGGTGCTTCTGTTACTAAATTTAATGTGACCATTCCATAATCTTTTGCTTGCTGTGCATTTTGCCTCTCAAAACACATCCACTGTACAGTAGCATAGCAGTTATAGCTAGATAATAGAGAATAAGTGGTCTAGGAAACCTTTGCTAGGTGTCAGGGATGTAAATAGTATAGGACAGATGTTTCCATTTTAATCTTGTGTTGTAGGTGTATGGTATAATCTGGGACAAGAGGTCCTTGGTTATTTGATGTGATAACTAAAAGCAAGAGACCTCAGACTAAAATCCTGGTGGTTCAGAGCTGTACAACAGTGCTGTTTAGAATCAGAGCAATAGCTCATCAGATCAGCTTGATTCCTTCTGATCCAACTGTGATCAGCATAGCCCAGTTATGTAATTTAAAATTATTGACCTTAAGATGTGGGTGAGACATGGTGGAAGGAATTATTTTCTCTGTGTGGGAATGGCAAATGCCTTCAACATATCCAACGATCACAGTGAGTTGGAGGGAGGATGATGGGAAAGAGAGTATACAAAGAGACTGTGCAGATTTACTTTGGTAAATCAGACCTCTGGACTCTGCGGCTTGAGCTCTGACTACTTCAAGCCCTTATCAATAAAATGGGCTAATTTATATCCATAACAGAAGCTGGTAAAACTATTAAAAGAAAAGATCAGTTTTTATTTTTCACTGTAGAGGATTTTACCCAAATCATGTAAGACATTTTTCTCAGTTGAGAAAACCACAAGTTAATTCACTGTGGGAAAAATACTCCTAGTTATGTGTAAAAGACCTCCAACCCCAAGCCAACAACAAGAATATCTCTATGCTTTTAGGATTCCCTGAGTAAGAAGAAGTGGTGAAGCTAGTGTTATTGTCCTGGATGAGCCTATGTTCATACACAAACTGGGCTGCTATGGAGTTTCTTAAGGCGTATCAATAATAAGGGATCTGGTGATTCCCACATTCAAACGGTACCTCCCTCTTGGTTCTTCTAGACCACTTTGATGCTTTGCACCTGCTGTTTTAATTATTGTTCCTGTGGGATTGCCTGTCATGGGTAGGAAGGAACTAAAACCACATTTTCCCCTTTCTAATTCCTTCTGCTTCTGAAGTTGTCACTTTATGCCTATCTCTCATTCAGTCACCCAACTCTGTTTTCCTGTTCACTTCCTGGATAGGCTAATTACTCATATCTATTGTAGTAGTCCTCAAAAGGGCAATGTCTAAATTCTTTGCTGCTGAAGTTAATAGT